TATGGCTGGCTGCAAAAGGCCAGGCTGTCTCGCTGTGCACTAGTATGCTATTTCGTGGGAGGGGGAGGTCCTGCGAGGGGGTTCCTCCAGAACTACTCCTTAGGTGCAGACTCCAAATACAGCTAACTTGCAGCTCCCTGGAGGTCACATCCAAACCCAAATGGGGAGCCCAGCCCAGGGAGGAGCTGCAGGGCTGACGGGGTGGGTGGTGGCCAGGGCTGACCTCAGGCGGCCAGGGCTCCAATCTGGCTTATCCACGCAGCAATCCCTGCTTTGGCGCTGCTCAGCCCTGCTTGCCGCCAAGCGGAAATCCCTGATCACTGACTTGGAAGCAGAGAGGAAAGATTCTTTTCCCTTGCTGTCACTCAGCTCTTTGTAGCCCTAGCAGCAGAACACACACATGATGTCATGGTTGAAGAGTTCAGAACTGTCCTCGGGGCCTCTGCGGAGTTGCTGTAGGTCATGCAGTATGTCTAATACCAGGGGCTTGACTGTGAATGTCCTGTGTCCCCCACTGGATATGGTGAGGTTTACACAGAATGTCGCCAGCAGTGACATTCTGTGGGGGAGAGGATGGCATGCACAGCCTTCCTGCAGCAGAATGAGGAGCCCACATTCTCACACAGGCGATCTACCCAGTTCTGTCCCAGGAGTCTCCTTACCCAGACCACCAGACTGCACTGCTCAGGAACTGAAGCAGTGGCACGGGACAGAGGTTTAAGGACCCAGGCTCTTGGCCATTTGCTCAGGTGGGCCTGTCCCTGCTTCTCTGCTGTTTCTCATGCATGTGGGCCTGCAGGCAAGCCCAAGTCTAGCTGTGGTAGTCCTAGAAGACAGCTGCCACAGTGGAGGCTGACAAGGGGGCAGGTGGACTGCCAAGTGAGGGGACAGATCAGGATAGGAAGTGGAAAAAAACCCCAGTCCTTTCCTAGTCTTGGGGCAACACTGCCTCACATTCAACATTCCCAAGCCCTACTCTTCATCCCTGACCTTGTGAGTACAGGACACTTGGAATTATTTGCAGTGGGACAATTCAAAGCTTTGTGGGAATTCTGTTTTTAAGCTCCCATGCTGTGGTCATTCCCTAAGCCCAGCTCTACTGGAGGGAGGGCAGGGATGTGGGCCACCCCAGCCTTGCCAGGACTGGCCCTCAGCACCAGCCAGGTTCCCCAGGGCAGTGGTGGGCACTGGCATGTGGCCTCCTGTGGAGTGCTGTGTGTCCTGCCCACCACCAGAGCTCTAATCACCTCTTCCCCCTGCAAGCACCACACAGGGCTCAGCCCTCTCTGCTGTTTCCACCGGGGGAAGGGTGCTGGGTTATAGGCCACAACCTCGGGAGCAGCTCACCACCCTTATCCAACCCCCGCCCCACTGTGCCCAGGAAAAAGGACTGGAGACACCCCCCACCCCCAGGTTTCTTTCAGCTCATTTCTTTAATAAGGAGACGCAGCTCGTTACAAAATAACAATTTTGACGAGAGATCAGACAAGAACAACAGAGTCCACATAAGGGGTGGAGAGCATTGCCAAGCAGGAGGAAGGGGGCAGCTAGGGCTCCACGAGTGTCCTCCTCGTGTACAAGGGGAGCTCCTGGTGGGGGCCACACATTCCCTGGGTGACCCAGGGAATGACCCAGATCAGGCTAGGCTAAGCTTTGCCCCTATTTTGATGTTTCGTAGCCCCAAGGTTTTCAGAAAGCAGCAAATCAAGTCCTTAGGTGAGCTGGACTCAGGGCAGAATGGTGAAGCTTCTCTGAAGGGGAACCCTTAAAGCCCAGATTGATTGTTAAGGAAGGTAGAGGAGAAACTTCAGCACCCCACATTCTGTCCCACCATCTGGCCAGACAGACTTTCCCTCAGCTCTTGCCTTGATTCTGTCTGGAGAGGGGGAGGCCCTACAGTGGGAGCTGACCCTAGCTGGCTCTGAAATGGTTCCTTCCATGTTCTCCACTCTTTATGACCTCAGCACAGGGGGATATAAAGTCCATCAGACTGTGTGCCCAAACATGGTGGTTTATAATGGCAGCGCCCACCTTGTTGGCTCTGGCTTATCCTGTACACCCACCCTAGTTCTCAAGTTCTCTTGCCTGAGGCCTCCTGGTGGCCATAAGGAGCCTGGGCTGTAGGCTAGGGACTGCAGATCAACATGCTGACCAGAGCTTTACCTCTCCACTGCTCAGCATACCAGGTAGGGGCTGCCCTGGGAGCAAATGTGGTCAGAGCCTGGTGCATACCTGCCCCCTACTCAGAGGGTGGCCCACACTGCTCGGAGCATGCTCCATCGGATTAGGATGGAGTATGGAAGAAGAGCTTAACCCACTGTGTTGCCCAAGGTTTTCCCCATGCCTCCCCGCTCCATTACCTACCATGGGTCCCCCAAGGGGTAAATGGGAACCTGACCACAGACTGAGCCACTAGCTAGCTGCTTTCTGAAAACCCTGGTGGTCTCTACAGAGCCCCTAAGTATGTATCCAAAACTGTGGAGTCCCTACCACTGCCCTGTCCACAACAGGGTTGAGATGGAGTTGAATCATCAGACTTAGGCCAAGAAATCCAGCCAGGGTCATCTCCTAGGGCCCCACCAGAAGCCCCGGACACCATCTGTCCTCATAGCACCAGGCTAAAGGAGCAAAAGAGGGTGACACCAGGTGGGCCTGTCACAGGTGTTCTGTGGGGAGCCAGTCAGAGGGACACAGGTGCTCCTGGGAGGAGCAAAGGGTAGTCTCCAGCAGGAGGCTCCCTTTATGGCTTTTCAGTTAGTTCAGACAGTGGGAAGAAGGGAACCATACCACACACACACACACACACACACACACACAGGACATAGCAATGGGACACAGACACCAGACCAGACACAGCACACAGTATCCCAAGGGGTGGCCCTGCAGACAAATGTGCAACAGACAGGCCTTCAGGGGCATAGTGCCTTCCAGCATCTTCCAACAGAATCAGCCTGTGGGCCAGAAACTCTTCCATCCTGATGGTTCCCATTGCGGGGTTCCCAGTGAGGGGCAGCAGGGTCAGACTGGAGACAAAGACGCCACATGACATACATGGAAGGGACAGGCTCAGCCAGTTCTGTAAAATGGGTCTGGGGTTGGGAAATCAAGGAGACTCCCAGCATTGTCATGCGGCTATTTACAGAAAGTTATAGACATGCATCTTGATTAAACAAGATTTCTGTTCATATGTTTATAGATAACTATCCTTTATATATAACTAAACACACATGGAAGGGGTTAGATGAGGCTCAAATGGCTTCAGAAGGTTCTTGTTTTGTTGTCACTTGAAAAATAAAGTATATTCAGATATCTTCAAGTCAATGTCCCCTTCTCCGTATTGCAGTTTGAAAAACAAGTTGAGTCAAATCTATGGTGAGCAATCGCTGGCCCCCAGGACCAAGAGGGAGCAGGGAGACACGGTTATAGGACAGGGTTGCCAGACACAATACAGGGTGGCCAGTTAAATTTAAATTTCAGATTAACAATGGATCACTTTTCAATATACTGTGTCTCAGATATTGCCTAGGACAATAGGCAATATTTGTTGTTTATCTGAAATTGAAATTTAACTGAGCATCTTGTATTTGTATTTGCCAAATCTGGCAACCACAACATGGATCTCTGGGCCTCCAGGATCAGGATTTGGGGTCCCTCCCCACCTTCTACCACCCATGGTTCTGAAGCCCCTGATCATCCCCAGGTGGGAAGGAAGACAGAACCAAGAAGGGGCACAGCAGAGGACATGAAGGCATCTCCTGGCTCAAACTCCTACACTTGAGGGGAGGGACACCCTCAGAGACAGGCTCTACAAAGATCAGGTAAGACCCAGGCCATGAAAACCTCAAGAATTAGTGTAGGACATTAAAGAAACAAGGAATCTCATCCTCCACAGAAAACAGTGCTCTCATTGCTATCATCCATCTCTTGCATGGGGACAGATATACAAGAGAGCTAGTTTTACCTGCAGGCGACCTGTAGTGACCCTTCTCTCTTACAGAAGCCTTGCTCCAGCAAAATCTCAAACTGATTCTGTAGAGATTCAAGGTACTGATCAGAAGAGAAAAAACCAGGATCTGAGACTGGCCTCATAGGCTCCAGGGAAGTCATTTCTCATCATGTCAAATACCTACTCTGCTTGGGACTGCCCAGCCTCCCTTGGGCCTAGGCTTCTGCTTCCAAAGTTTAAATAGCTGCCCGTAGCTCTGGGAGAGTTAATGTCCTTTCTGGAATGATTATCCAGGGAGAAAACAGCTTTTCAGCTTCACCCCCAGTTTTTGGATGGGATTAGTTTTAGATTATCATGGCCTTAGCCCCTCTGTAAGAAATCATCTCTCCACTAAGGACTTTCCTCTCTGGAACAGACTTTTGGATGAAAACTCACTCCCAGAAGCATCTAGACACCTTAACTCTGCTACTCGGCACCAAGCCCCAGCGCCCTAATGCCGTGGAAGTAGACCTGCACAGCAGGGAGGGTTTAGAATGATGCTGTGGTTTGCATTACATCAGCCTATAGATATAGTAAACTTATCACTATGTTCCCTGCAGCCTGTGGACCCAGCCAGGTGCCATCTGCTCAGGTAGCTAGGTGCTCCTGACACCCACACTAGCTCCACACTGGTGCCAACACTCAAAGACACAGTAACTTGTCCTGCCCCTTCAGGCTACCCAACAGAGGTGGGCTCAATAATAAACCCAGCTTCTGTCTCCAGGCCTGGGACACTTAGACCACCAGAGGGGCCTACCATTTCCTTTCTCTAGCAAGGAAGTGGCAAGTGTTAGGCTTTCAAAGGAGTAAATGAGGTTCATAGACACAGAAGAATCCCTGATGGCTGGAAAGAGTAAAATAATAAAGGTAGAGATTGACAGAGGTTTCCATGAATGAAGTTTATGGAATGTGAGTGAGAGGGGACCCTGAGAGCACCAAAATCTCACAGCCCTGGGGATGGGAGAGGAGTCCAGTGACACCTGATGTCCATACTTGGACTTGTACTCTGCTGCCACCCAGATTCTAAAGGCACTCTATTGTCCTGCAACTCTCTACCATGACTATAACTCTGATCCCAAGGACTAGAGCTCATATTTGTATTATTCTGCTGCCTTCCTAGTAGGTATGTACACATAAGGTATATAAAACACATGACTTCCCATATAGCACTAGCAGAAAAGAGAAGGGTCAGTCTCAGGTCAGCAAAGACTTTCTTTCCAGTCTCTTTCTGGTGGAGATGTTCCTTCACTCCCTACTTGAATAACAACAAAGCAAAATCTAATACCCTCTTCACTTCTTTAACACACTCTGGGGTCTCAAAGCCTGATTCCAACACTCTCATTCCATCTCAGGTGCCTACAGGAAGATAAAGTGGCTCAGATGGGGAAGGACAGGAAGTGCTGCCATCTTTCTTGGGAATGTGACTCCCAAGCTTCCAGGGAAGCTGTGAGTTTTCTGTGGTGAGGAAATGGCAAGGGTCTGAAGATTGAAGACAGAAAAGAGAGGCTAAGAGAAGAGAGACAAAGAGAGCTGACCTCTGGCCATATGGGGACCTGACTTTCTTGACTGGGCTAAAGGAGACTCAGTGCAAATTTGACCAACATATATATGGCTTTTTAAAAATCAATGCTGGGGACAAGAGGTAAATGAGGAAGGGGACAACTGAAAATGGAGTAGAAACCCTGGCAGGTTTCCTCCACCACCATCTTAGCATTCATAGAGAAAAGATTAATGAATGTTAGGCTGGGGCCTCTTCACAGGCCTCCATGATCCACCTCACTACTTAAAAGTCCTACAGTATAGACAGCAGAGTGTTCAAAGAACAAGGAATGGGCGGGCATTGGAGGAATCCAAATGTTCCCATCCCAGAAACTCCCGTCATCTGTCCATCATTCTCCCCTTTTTACCACCCCCTTCTTACCTGGACCTCAAGGAAACTAAGAACATTTAAGCCTTCTTCTCAAAAGTTCTCTGGCTTTGTACATATAACATGTCTTCAGACAAGTTGCTCCACTTAAAAGAGAAATTGAAGCAAAAGCACAATGGAGAAAAAATGCATGGTACTGCTTAGATTCTGGAGAGAGTGAAAGCATCTGTGTTTCCCACTGGTAGGGGCCATGATGCAAGAGTTTTAATTTTGGTCTTTCTGAATAAAGAGACCTTGATGTTTCTTCATAGTTTTGATATTCACTGTCAGTAAGAGTGAGATCCTAGGACTGACAGTCCCTGTTAAGAGTCTGACCAAGCTAGAATAGTTTATTTCTATGAATGTTTCAAAACCCCCACTTCTAGAGAAGCTGTGACCAACAGGAGGAAGTCTATGATGGCATCAGGGCTTTGGTCCTCGTTCTGGACACATCCTGTCCCATCTTGCTGCCTCCCAAAGAGCCATCTACAAGGAAGGTAGGAGCTTCTGGCATCTGAACACAATTTTGAGCCTTTTCCACAAGCTGATAGATCTTCCACCATCAGTGGATTTCCTTCATGTCAAGGTCCCCGAAGAACATTTTCTTCCCATATAGCTTCACTATCCATGACTCATCCCAGGCTTGAAGAGAGATACTCAAAGACAAAGACAGACAGACAGACAGACAGACACACACACACACACACACACACACACACACACACAACCATTGGCCACTGTGTTGCCCTGCCTTCGCTGTCAGGAAACAGGATGTGCCTCCATTTTGTTGGTCCAGAATGTGCAAAAAACAAGTGCTGCAACTTTGCCAGTAGAGTGCCTCACTCGGGTGAAACTTAAGTAAAGCACTGGAAGAGTGAGAGGGAACCATGACAGGGCATGCAGCAAGCACAGTTCCTAGGATGATGAACAGAGTCAGGCTTCTCTTTTACCTCTTAGGGGACTCTCCTCACATAGCCATCAAAGGGAAAGTTGGTCTTTAAAAAGAGAAGAAAGAAAAACAAGTATACAATCACAGACAGATCAAAACAAAACCTCTAAGGTTGCACAACTGAGGTATTGATAGCTCTGGATCTTGTCAGTGTCCGTGAAGGGTGCTGGATCCCAGCTGCTGCCGCCTACTTGTTCTTGCCCAGAAGTGCGTCCACCTCCTCTTCAGGCTTGAGCGAGTGCCACTGGGCAATGGGCCTCCGGGGGTTGGCCAGCATATCGGACCAGTGCCGCAGCTCTGTGCCTGTGGCATTGCTGCCTACAAAGATCTTGCCAATGGCTTCATTCTTACCCAGCTTGTCATAGTCCAGCACAGTGACCACCACCTGGACTTTCTACAAGGAAAACAAAGGAGGGAGGAATTGGAAGGTGAAGACTGGAGATTGCATTACCAAATTTCTCCCCTCCAACAAACTACTTCAAATGATTGGGCAGGAAAGTCTTCCCAGGACTCCTTTCTTCTACTTCTGGATCCAGCTAGGACTGAATTTACATAGAGGCAGAGGTTACACCTTTTAGAGATGACCTATGTTTCTACCAACAGGCATTTACCAGACAAATGCGATGTTAAGCACTGGCTGTATTAAGCACTTGATAAGGGGCAGTGGAAAGGTGACTTTTTAACTCTAATGAGATGAACAGACACATAACCACAAACTGGCAACACAAAGTGATAAAGGTTATGATACAGAGCTAGGCACAAGGGTCTATGGGTATTCATAGAAAGTGACGGTCGAGCTTGGCTGAGTCAGGGCAAGCTTCATACAGGAGGTGACATCTGAATGGGATAGGAAGGGTAAGGATTTCTCTCAGAGGAGAAAAGGGGAATGAAGACTCCAGGAAAGATTAGCCTAGTTAGGGACAGCAACACAAAAATACATTTGGTGACTAAGAAATGTTGGACGTGCAGAATCATGGCACTGTGGAGTCAGAAACCATGCAGCAGAAGGTAAGGTAACCAGAGTGAGCTGGAGCCAGCTCAGGAGTTGGCATTTTATCCTAAGCTAAAAGATTTTTAAGAATGGCATGGTTAATTTGGAAAGAAAATAGTGGTGCTGAAGTGGAGGATTCACTGGAGTGGGGCTGGGCCTAAGGGACAGGGAGACCAGTTAGTTGCTGGAGGTTAGGATGGGATGGACACTGACATAAACGAAGGCAGTGGAATTGGAAAGTCACAGCCAGATAGGAGAGGTATTGAGAGAACTGTGACTTAGCAAACAGATGGACTTGTTGAGGGGCTATCCCTCGGCTGTTTAGTGTCCTCTTCCTAATGCTCAATGAAGCTGTCATCTCACTGTATGTTGCTTGTCCCCTCCCACTGTGACCACCTCTGGAGTCAGGACTGACCCTTTTTTTTTACTGGAACCAGGGATTGAACTCAGGCCCTTGCACTTGCCAGGCAAGTGCTTATTCTACTGAGCCATTTCCCCGGCCCCCAACTATTTTTTTTTTTTTTTTTTTTTTTTTACTGAGCCTTCTACACACTTGTGTTCTCAGTGCCTGACTAGTGCCTGCACTTAGGAAATGCTCAGGATAGGATGTTGGATACATGAAAAAGGGAAAGGACTGGGGTCTAAGGTGATGCTCAGGTGTCTGGCTTGGGCTGTCTGGCTTGGGCTGCTGGGCAGATGGTAGAGCCATTCACTAAAAACAGTATTCAGATGAAGCAGGTTTCACTGTGAAGGGAGAGAAGGTCAGACACTGGATCTGGACATGCGGGATCTGTGATGCTTGGGCAGCATGCTTGCTGCTGTCTGCCTCAAGTTCTCCACTGGAAAGCCTTCCTGGGCTCCCATTCCTGCTGAGTTACCCACTGTTCCCTTGGAGGATTCCATGTGTGATTCATCAGGCAACTCTAACTCTTGAGTGCCTCCTGGCACTCCTACCCCTCAGTGCTCTATAGGGGAGCAGAACCAAGTGGATCAGCTTACTATAAAGGAGGCAAGTCCATGATTCCATGGGAAATGCCCGCTGTAAGGCCTTGGTTATACCTCACTACAGTCACAAAGGGGCTCTCGTCCTTGTCCACCATATCCCAGCCATACTCAAAGTGGAGAAAAACACAGACCTTCATTTCTGACAGGCACAGAATTTGCTAGAGGGAGAGATGGAGGAAAGGAGGGAGGGAGGGACAGAAGAACAGAGAAGGCTGGGTGACTCAGTGAGGGGAGAGGCATGGATGGGAGCAGGGCTAGGAGTAGCAGAGATGAGGGCAGGGATGGCTGTGGCAGGCCATGGCCAGGGAAGGATGGAGAAGGAGACAGCTTTTCTTCTCCTCTCACTCCCAACCATGGGCTTTTGTCACAAACACCCATATGTGGCCATGTTCCTCAAAGTCCTTAAAGACTGATATGTAGAAATTTCTGGAATTAGTTCATTTTCATCACTTCAGAAAAGGAGGACTCTTCAGAAGATGCCCCAGAGAGGGACCATCACACCTGAGCCTTCCCCAGCACATGATGACCTGTGTTCCTGAGTCTCCTGCCTCCACCTCCCAGTGGGGTGGGGACTCCTTTATCGCCACCCCAGCTCCGTGCCTCAGACCCAAAGGGCTTAAGCACCTGAATCTGCTCGAAGGGGATCTCAAAGCTGAAGGACTCATTGAAGTAGGGGTTCAGGGTCTTTTTTTTCACTGTTGTCTTCTTCTTCTTGAGCCTCTTCCCATTCTGCATCAGGTGGATCTTCACATAGGGGTCTGTGGAGAGAGTCCCAACCCAAGGCTCTTTAGCTCTCCCCTCGCTGTCAAGTGACTGGCCTACTCCAGCCTCAGAGGGACAGGGTCTCCCCCTGCTGAGAGCGGGTGAGCAGAAAGCCCCAAGGCAGTCCAAAAAGGCAGAAGAATTATTCACCTTTAGGGTGGCAAAATGTTTCACCTCAGGGACAGCTCTGACCTGTCAGGAAGATCTTGCAGGGACAATTTTGGGATCTGAATGAGGCCTTGTAAAGGAGTGTGGGGACAGACTGGTGATACCTGCATTAGGGGACAGTGTAACACTAATGGCAGGGCATACCTCTGCTATGTCTTCACCCTGGCCTGATCTAAGCTTCCTTGTAGATGAGAAACAGGCCAAAGAAGGGAAATGACCAACACAAGACCACACACTGATCAATGACAGAGCCCACGCCCATTCCTAGGGCACTGTGGAGGAGGCAGAGGGTTCTCCAGCATTCTGTGCCCAGCTCCAGATACCACCAGGTAAATCTGATACAGCAACACACACACACACACACACACACACACACACACAGAGTGTCCCTTCCCAGGGCATAGACAATAGCGCCTACACCTCCTGGAAGTGTCCTCAGTTTGTGGCAGAGAGGCACACTTTGGGCTAAACCCTTCCCATTTCCTATACTTGCCTGAGAGAAGTAAAATCCTAAGACATTGGCCAGCTGGGTGATGAAGTTTCATTGATCCTCTCCTTCATGGGCCACAAGACAAGGCCAGGGAATACAGGGACGGCAACTCAGATTGGGGGGCAGGGCCTCCTTGGAGAAAGGCGGAGTGGGAAGCCAGAGCTCCCCTGGGAAACATCTTGCTCCCAGAGCTGGGACATTTCCTCCTCCACAGCACATGCAAACTCTAGGGGTGGTGAGTAGTGACTGGCTCACTGCTGCCACCCAATGGCAGCCAGAAGCACTGTGTGTACCTGAAAGGCCGCCCACATCCATCTTCTTGAGGTTCTTGGCCTCCAGGATGCAGACGGTAAGCTTCCCTGCAGTGGGCACGTAGCGCAGGGAGGTGCAGATGTCACCCAGCTTCTCTGGCTGTCCAGGGAAAAGTGGGACTCGTCATCTCAGTCAGGCACTGCCCGAGGGTGACTGGCCTAGTCTTGCCAGCCCAGTTTGCGACCCCCACATCTGCTTTAGACCTGACCTGAAGGGGCTCATTCTGCAGTTCACAGCAATTCCTGATATTCAAAGCACTTTGCTCCCTTTCCTTTGTCACTGCAACCCTTTCATGTAAAGAAGGCAAGGGTTCTTTCCAATGAGAAACTGAGGCACCCAGAGGGATACAGGAGGAGCATTTAGCATTCCTGACTCTCATTCTCAGCCAACACTGCAGGGCCTCAGACCTGGGACTGAGCACACCACACCATCCTATTTTCAGTGCGTTGCCCTGACTTCTGGACACAGCACGAGCCTCCAGGTCCACAAGGATGTCCTGTGCTTCTCTCATCCACGTACCACTGCCTAGCACCACTCTTGGCAGCTCCAGGGCCTGTCCCAGGCAGAGAAAGAACCAATACTTTTAAGGAAGAGTGGCTAAAGTGAAGTTCTGGATACACAGCAGATACTCAGTAATACATGATGAACAAATGCGCACTGGAGCAGTCAGGACAAACCCCCTTGCTGAGAATCCTTTAGAGCAAATGTGAACTTCCATGTGGGTAAACTGAGGCACAGAATCAGGAGTCACTGACCCTACAAGATAGCAGAACCTTGTGAATGACAAGGATGGTTCTGATTTAGTCGACTACCTACCAAACACCAGACTACATGCACATTTCATCCTCCTCTATAAGGAGTCTAAAAAGGAAGCCCACAGCCAGGACCTCAGTGGCATGAGCTGGAACCCCAGCCTGAAAGGCCTCACTCTAAAGCCCATCTTCTCCACCAGCCCAGGAGGGTCCAGCAGTGTGCCCCGTTCTGTCGGCTTAGGCCTCGCCCTGCTCTCACCTCCTCCTTTTCCCCGCCTTGCAGGTCTCTCCACTCCTCGATGGGCTGGCCGAGGTCCACAGTGTTCATGGGCACCTTTACTTCCCCAATGATGTCATGCTTGGAGAAGCGGTCAAAGTCATAGATGGCCATCACCAGAGTTTTGCCCCCTAGCTCCTGGTATGGCACCTGCAGGGTGCAAAGAGATCAGAAGGGGCTGCAATGACTGGTGTGCCTCCAAGGAATGCCATGTGTAAGTCTCTGGCCTAGGCCTGCCTCCTGGTCAGTCATTAGAGGCAGAAGAAAGGCCCAGCAGGGTTACTGGAGAGCAGAGAATGAGGCCAGCAGTGACTTTGCTGGGGCTGCATCCAGCCTGCCACACAGCTGAGCTTGGGGCCCTGGCCCTGGCCCAAGACTAAGGGAAGATCTGCAAAGTTCAAGGACTGGGAGGGAGCTGGAGCACCTTCCAGTCTCGTCACCTTGAAAGTGAAGGTCTCATTGAAGGCTGGGTTCAGAGTCTTCCGATGGACTTTGGTCTCATATTTCTTTTTCTTGTCTGGAAGGAGGAAGACTTTGACATAAGGGTCTGAGGTGCCCCCCATGTCGAGGGCAGGTAGCTCCGCAGCCTGCAGGACTCCCACAGTGAGCTGTGGAAAAAGGGATGGAGGGAGAGTCCTGAGTCTCCACAATACAACTCCAGAGCTGGCCCTGGTCCCAACACCCTCCAAAGCCTCCCCAAAGGTGACAGCTAGAGGCTGGGGTGGGGTGGTGACCAGGCAAGGCTGGCCTCCACCTTCTGCCCCAGGAATGTGCAGTGACGCCAGGATACCTGAAGTTGAAAGGGCAACTGATTTGCCTAAGCTTGGTGGACAACTTAACCCAGAGTCAACTTGACACTTTGCCCAGTGCAGGCTGGTGGCCGCGCCAGGTCAGTATCCAGACAGATACACCCTATATCACAGAAAGCAGCAATACCCACACAGGGGCATTGTTTCTACCCCCCACATCCAGCCCCAGGTCCCCACTTCCGTGGTCCCCCAGCCCAGCTCTCCATACCTGGTTAGCCTGGAAATCATAGTCCAGGGAGAACTGCAGCTTGCCCAGGTTCTCCGGCTCTTTCTCCTCTTCCCCTTCCCCTTCCCCCTCAGTCAGGCCTGTCTCCGCATCATCGTCATCCTGAAAGAGCTTGTGGGGAGGGGGGAGCAAGGTCAATGGAGAGAACAACAGTAGCCAGCCTCAGCACCAGGGCAGCAGGAGGCCTTCCCTGTCATGCCTGCCCCTCACTCAGAGCCAGGTGGGGGTGAGGGATGGCACATGGCACAACCAGGGGCAACTGCTGCCCCTCAGCCCATCAGGACCCCATGTAGCCCACCAGCCCTGCCTATGGAAGCAGGCTCCAGATCTGGTGGGTCCCTCCTCCCCATGGAGCACCACCCTAGGGGGCCTGATGCTCAGCCACAAGCCATACAGAGTTGTGAGGCAGAAGATTCACTTCCCACATGAGATGCCACCCCAAACCAGTCCCAAGTCAGACCTCACCCATCCTGGGCAAGACATACCAGCAGCACAGTCCAGGCAGACAGCAGCAAGATTTGTCCACGGAGGCAGAAAGAGAAGAAGGAGACATAAAAAATCCATAGCTCATGCCAGTCCCTGAATTCAGAGCCATGTGGGGAAACTGGGCTGGGCCAGATCCACACAGCTCACTCTTGGACCCTCACACACACATGCATAAGCTGTAGGCTCCTTTTGGGGCCAGGTGCACACACATGCATGTGCATGCCTATGTGTGCACATGCCACAAAAGCACTCAACAGCGACGAGACCCTGGCCAACTTGAGACCAGCCCCTTCCATCCTCCATACTGAGTCTTTGAGATTTCTTCAAGTTCTTCTCAAAACAGACATGGGGATATGAAGGGCTTCTGTGAACTTAAAATAAGGTTTTCATATAATAAGGGACTTCTTGAGCACTGGGGATGTGACTCAGAGGTGGAGTGCTTGCCTAACACATGCAAGGCCCTGAGTTCAATCCTCAGCATTGCCGAAAAAGGAAAAAGAAAAGGATTTTTCTAGTCTGACCAACACCAAAGACACCTGTCCTTAAGACTAGAATAAACTAAGTTCCCATGGGTGGTGATGGATTCTACATGGCCTTGTCTTGGTGGCACTGAACCTTTCTCCTGCCTTGCCTAGCTCCCCACCCAGCCATGCCAGATGCCACCAAGGTGGCTTCTGTTGTTCCCCAGCCTCATCTGGCAGGAAAGCACAGGGTCCCCCAGTGGTGGCTTCCTGCTGGTGGCAGCAGGCTGTCTCTCTGGCATTTTGTTCCAGTGGGTTCCATGGTCTCAGCACATATATGCCCTCCCTTGCATTCAAGAATGAGGTCATGCTGACATGTGCTTAAGTTCCCCTTCCCACCAGCTGTCGAGCAGATGATGCTGGGGCAGCCAACAGAGCCCTGTGGAGGTTGGAGGAGGAACCAGTTTGGCTGCAGGAGCCCAGAAAACCTTTGGTTTCAGCCTCAGGAGAGTGGGACTGGGTCTCTCCTCCCCACACCCCTACACCACACACTCCTACCTGACCACCCTTCATGTCCTTCATGTTCATGGCATTCTTCATACCCTTCCCCTTCTCCTTCTTGTTCTTCTTCTTCTTGCAGCAGCATTTCTTGCAGATGCAGAAGCAGCAGGTGAGAAGCAGCAGGCCAGCAACCACGGCAATGGCAATCAGAGCCCACGGAGGCACTGCCCGCATGGAGAAGGGCCCCGAGTCAGCACACCACGCCCCCAGCCTGAGTCCTGCATGCTGGCCGAAATAGGTCAGGACTAGGACTGCCCACAATGCCCATGCTCCAAAGTGCTTTACCCTCGTATTCATGAGTGGTCGCATGTTGGCTGCAAATACCTTAGATGTCTTTTCACTACTGCCCTGCTCTTACCTTCTCTTCTGCCCTCAGTACTGCGGAAGGACAGCGGGCAGGTTTTTAGGTGGAAACCAGAGTTTAGTTTAAAATTGGAGGATGGGCCATTCTACAGAGGCTAGTCGGTCCTTACCACACCTGTGGGTCACAGCAGCCCCTTGGCGCTCACCCTGGTGCCCAGTTACGAAAGGGCTGCCTCAGAGACAGAAAGGCTTCCGGAGGTTTATCACCCCATAAGCAAGAGGGACTGGGCGGAGCTCAGGTGTGTGGGCGGTGGGCTGGGTGCTCTCCGTGGTCCTGAAGCAGCAGCTCCCCACCCTCAAAGTTGCACCTCTGGCGTCTGCTATTGAGCGGCGGCCTTTGCCAGCAATTCAGAATGTGGCAGAAACCTTTATTCGTCATATTAAAAAAACAAAAAGAACAAAAAAAAAAAAAAAAAAAAAAAAAAAAAAAACCACAACTCCTTTCAAAATGTATCTGAAAGGGTGAATAATGATTTCTATTTCATCATGTCTTGGGGCATTTATTTAAGTTGTAAGAAATTTTTCCCCGTTGGAGTTTTGTGCACATAACCCCTACCAACCCCCTCACTGGTTCCAGGCCACATTTCCCCCTATTCCTCAAGGAGTTTCCCCCTAAGAATACAGGCTGAGGTCCAAGCTTTAGAGGAGAGCCCAGCCCAGTTGTGCCCCCTACCGCCCTGCCCAGCAGCAGCCAGGCCACTCACAGGGGATCTTGTTGATCTCATTGAAGAACTTCTCCTTCAGCTTGGCAAACATGTCCTCCTGACTCTCCCCTGCACCACCACTCTCCGTGGAGTTGGAGCTTTCTGCAGGGCCGATCGGCATGGTGGCCGTGGTGGTGGCAGGAGCCACAATGGGCTCCTGGTTCCTCTTAAAGATGTTCCTCATGGTGGCTGTGGGGATGGCTGAGGAGAAGCAGGGAAGAGGGTAGGGTGAATATTACAGAGGCCCAAATATAAAACCTGCTACCCAAAGGACAAGGAAAAACTGTTATCAAAGCTACACATGATAACACTCCCTCATGGTTCAGGGGTATTTTGCTTCAGACCAGCAACTGTGGAAAACAGTAACAGTCATCAGTATGTGAGCGCATATCTACTCAAAGGCTGTAAGAAGTATTTCTTATGTATGAGCTCATCTAATCCAAACAACCAAATATTATATGATAGTGCCCACAATGAACAGAGGAAAACAGGTTCGGACGGGCTGGCTGGCTCTCTCAAGGCCATTCAGCTGGATGACGAGGAACTGATTTGAACAAGTCTGCCTGCCTCCAAAGCCTACAGACCCAATGCATTTTTTTTTTTTCTGAACTGGGGATTGAACTCAGTCCCTTGTGCTTGCCAGGGAAGCGCTTATTGCACTGAGCCATCTCCCCAGCCCAAGGATTTTTTTTGCTCCGAATGCCTTCAGGGCAGGTTTGGCTAACTTTAGTTGTGGGGATCAAACCACAGCAACCTGAGCCTGACTGCTTTGTTGAAGCAGCCACTTAAAGAACTGAGCTAAGGGGCAGGCCCCCTGCATTTTCTGTATTCACATAAATCTAACCTCACAGCACCCATAGGAGGGAGCCAGGTTTTCTCTGAGATTTCCCCACTTTGGCCTCTGTCCTCCCTGGTTTCCATAACATCATCCTGACCATCTTGGTTTCTTGAGACAGTCCCACTGTCAGTATCTCAGCCCCAATCCTCCGCCTCTCTCCTGGGCTCCTTCCCAGCACTGGCACTGGGGCTTTCTGAAAATGGTGCCCAGATCACACCTGAAGCCCTACACCCTCCCTATGGCTGCTGTCAGGTCACCTTCCTCCTTCAAGGAAGTGGCGTTCATTAAGGATAAAAGTAATTCAAACTGGGTGTGGTGGTGCACACTTGGAATCCCAGCACTTGGGAGGCTGAGGCAAGAGGATCACTGTGAATTGGAGGCCAGCCTGGGCTACACAGTGCTCAAGGTCACTATGAATTATATAGCAAGACTATCTCAAAAAAAAAAATGTAATTCAAGGGGAGATGCAGAGGGGCCAGGGAGATAGCTCAGTAGAATAAGCGCTTGCCTGGCAAGCTCAGGGTCCTGAGTTCAATCCCAAGTACCACAAAAAAAAAAAAAAAAAAAAAAAAAATCACTGCAGAAACATTGGTGTGGAAGATACAAAGGCTGAGGGCCTACAAGAAAAAGCTCTCAAGCCCCATCATTCTACCATCCTGAAAACTAAGGTTAACACTTACTACACTCTATACCTATTTTTTCTATGATTTGCTACATATATTGAGATCATACTATATGTAGTGTGGTATTCTGACTTTTAACCCAAATTTTTATCCTAAGTCTTTTTCCTTTATAATTTTTTAAATATATTTAGGACAGGGTCTACAGGGTCTTACTATGTAGATTGGACTCCTAGTGATCCACCTGTGTTCAGCCTCCCAAGCACTGGGATTACAGGTGCGCACCACCACACCCAGTCTCAATCACCATCTCAGAGCGTCCCAGGGGCAGGGTCGGCATGGCATGCCAGGGATTGAACCCCGGCCACTGCACTCTGCCTAAGCAGGCACTTTAGTCTGCTGAGTTATCTGGCGGGCCCTCCTTTATGATTTTTAAAATTTGAAATAGAAAAAAAAGTTTCAAAACAGGTTAGCAAAAGAATTACAATAATTAATATATTGTGTATCATTGTGAGACAGGGTCTCACTGTCTCCCAGGCTGGCCTTGAACTTGTGGTGATCCTCTTACCTCAACCACCTGAGTGCTAGGATTACAGGTATGCGCCACCACACCTAGCTTAAATTTTCTTCTTGTTTATCTGTCTGTCTGTCATCCATCTGTCTGTCTTTTTTCTTTTATCTTCTTTTTTTTTTTTTTTTTGGTACCAGGAATAGAACTCAGGTCCTTGCGCTTGCCAGGCAGGCACTTGTGCCACTGAGCTATATCCCTGACTTAAACTTTATTCTTAAAAAGCTAAATAACACCCCATAAATAGTATTATTATAATTTGTTTATTCCACAATTAAATATTAGACATTTTAATGCTTTCCAACTTTTTGCTAGCAAAAATATTACCACACAGCTAGGAATGTAGCTCAGTGTAGAGCACTTGCCCAGTGCCACCACCCCCTGCACACACACACACACACACACACGTCACTGCAGTAAGTACAATTTTTGGTTTTGATTTAAGGCTATGTTCTTAGGGGCTTCCCCACTTGGCCCTAGCCCCAGCCTCATGCTGTCCCCCACACTAGTTCTGCTTCTCAAAATAGGACCAGTCCTCTAGCTAAAGTCCCATGAGGGCAGGCTCTGTGTTTATCAGCCTCCCTCCATGAGGCACACGGGAAGATGCACATGGTATGTGCTGGGTGCAGTGCTCTGGGGACCTAGCAGTGGACACACAGAAGCACACTGGGTCATGAAAAGACACAGCACAGCTCTCTGAGGCATCAGTTTTACTTAATGACAAATACTTCATGGGAGGCTGAGGCAGGAAGATCACAAGTTTGACCCCAGCCTGGGCAACTTCATGAGAGACCCTGTCTCAGAGTTTTACAGAAAGAGCTAAGGATACGGCTGAGTGCAAAGGCTCTGGGTTCAATTCTCAGTACCAGAAAATAAAAGTTTTTTAAAGAATTAAATTAGTACTGAGCAGGATGCATATAGCATAAGAATTGTAAAAGGGAGGGCTGGGAGATAGCTCGGCTGCATAAGCTCCTGCCTGGCAAGTGCAAGGTCTGGAGTTTGATCCCAAGTACTGCATGCTATGCCACCCCCGAGCCATGCGTGGTTGTGCATGCCTGTAATCCCAGAGCTGGGGAGGCTGAGACAGGAGGATCACTATGAGTCTGAATTATGTAGTGAGGCTCTGTATCAAATTTTTAAAAAAGAACTATAAAGGGGAAACATGGATATTTTCTCTGTGCACATGAAGAACGATTTAGTTCTCCACTGCACCGTGTCCTTTGGAAGAAGTTTCAGGAGATCCTCTAAGAAGCCAGCTGAGCCCTCAGTCCAGGGAGACTGCAGCACTCACCTCTGAGCACGCACCAAGCTCTTCCTCTGAGCCTCGTTACACAGCCTGGAGCCCAACTTGTCTTTAAATAAAGTGCAAAGGCCCCTGGATCAGCTCTGGGGCTGCCAGACCCCTCTGGTTCTTAGCAGCCCATAGTCAGTCACTTCATCCAAGCAAGATCCTTCTCGCATCCCCTCACCCCCACACGATCCAGGACCCCTGGCCCTAACAGCTTTATTGACGTGCAATTCACCAACCATATCACCCGTGTAATTCACTTACCTAAGGGAACAGTTCAGTGGGTTTGGTATACTACAGTTGTTCAACTATTACCACAATCTAATTGTAGATCATTTCTAAAAGGAAATGCTACACTAATTAGCAGTTACTCTCCAGCCCACCCTCCCCCCAACCCCAGCAACTGCTGATCTACTTTCTGTCTCTATAGATTTGCCTATGCAAAACGTTTCATAGGAACTGATTCACAAACTATGCCAGTCTTTCTTTCATTTAATATCTTTTCAGATTCATTCATGTTATAGCATATATTGATTTTTATTCCTTTTTTATTATCAAATAATATTCCATTGTATAAATATAACACATTTTTATTTACCTGTGCATCAATTTATGGACAGTTGGGTTATTTTCTTTTGGGGACTATCATGATTAATACTGCTAGGAGTGGCCAGTTATAAGTTTTAGTGTTGATATATTTTTGGGCTTTTTGGATAAAGATTTAGGCACGAGAATGTTGGCTTACATGGTAACGACCTTTGATATTTTAGTGACTCCCCCCGCAAACTATTTTCCCAAGGTGGCTGCATGAATTTCTATTCCCATCAGCAATGCGTGAGGCTTGGAAAATTGCCTATATCCTGATAATATTTGTTCATATGTGCCTTTCAGTTTATAGACTTGCTGGTAAGGAGCGAGGTGGTGTCTCCCTGCAGGTCTGGTTTGTATTTCTCTGATGATCAATGACACCGAGCACCTTTTTATGTACTATTTGATTATTTACTCTGGAGAAATGTCCATTCAATTCCTTTGCCAAC